ATTGAAATATTGAAGTGGAGAAGCAGGTGCTTATCTCTTCTCCCTGGGATCCAGTGATACGACATGTGGGCATGGTTCAAAGCTGCACCAAGAGAGGGTTACACTTGACTTCAGGAAGCATTTCTTTACCGAGAGGGTGGTCAAACCTCGGGAACAGGCTGCCAAGACAGGTGGTCAATGCCCCAAGCCTGACAGTGTTTAAGATGCATTTGGACAATGCCGTTAACAACATCCTTCAACTTCTGGTCAGCCCTGAAGTGGTCAGGAAGTTGGGCTATGTTTTCATTTGGAAGGGACCTACAATGATCACAATCCTAGTCTAGTCTAGTCTAGTCTAGTCTAAATGCATTTGGTGCAATTTTGTGGCCATTGCCCTAGCCTAAAAAGCCCATGGAAAATCTTCACTGTTCGAAGTCCAGTTTAATAAGTAACTGATGCCTTAATGTGCCTTTATAAGTCTATTCCAGCACACTACAAATATGAACATCATCAGTTCCTTAGAAAGGGTAATTATATTATTACCACAGACTTACATGTGGCTAAGGAGAAAAATGAAGAGGTAAAGAATTCAGCCTTTCCATGGGACAATACAAAAGAAGGTCAGCTCTGAATAACCTGGAGAAAAAAGCTGCCCTCTCACTACTAAGAGCAGATTTGGGAGCAGTATACCCAAAGTTGGTTTGAGGGCCAGGAATGGGATTCTGCTTCCTGGAGTGCAGGTTTTACCCTACAGTCTCTAGACAGAGCATTCACAACCTCAGCAAAGGTTTTGTTTAGGGACGTTTCTAACTGAAAGCCACATTTTGTATCTCCTTCATAAACCTCTGAAAACTCTGCACTGCTAATTCCTGTTGCCAGAGTCAACAAACTTAAATCACAGGAAACAAAACTGCAGAAAATGCTTAAATTTGGTTGATAGACTCACTCCAGGACTAACAACACTGTAATTTGCTTACTTGTACTACTACCAGTACTACAATGTAACCTGAAGACCCAGTCAAGAGTAGGGCACCATTACATTAGGCACGAAGAGAGAGGCAGTTTATATCCCAAATTGCCTGCAATCTATCTACACGAGGCAGACAAAGTACAACTATCATTTTGCAGATGGAAACCAGACAGAGTAAGCAGATTGCCAAAGGCTTTCAGAAGCTTCCTCAATGAAATCTCTGACAAAAACATGACATAAACCACTGCTGCTGGAAATGCATTTTTGTGTCAATGCACTACCTTATCTACTAATCCCATTACTTTAATATTGTGTCAGGTAACTTTTGAGACACAATGCAGATGCTGGCCAACAAGAAAAAATTACTCTATTTGTTATTTCTTAACAAAGGTAAAACATACAGTAATCTGACCACATTCTTCAGCCACGTACTAAGGTCGGGACTTGGTTTCATGTTCTGTCAGAGTCCTCATACCTAATTTTCTACAGTGATCTGGAGCATCTATTTGTGTACATAACTCTAGGCTGTGCAAAGCTGAAAAATTAGCAGGTGATTTACAGTCCCAAAGTTAGGTACTAAGGCATCTTATGTAGTCAGAAAGGGCAACTGGGTACTTCTGAAGTGTAATCCAAAAATCCTGCTCTAATTGTAAAGCAGGAAAGGCTCTAGTTGTAAAGCAGGAGAGAACAAGTCCTTAGAAAAAACAAAAATTGGTTTCCTCTAAATGAACCTACAAAATCTTCCTTCTAAATTGTTTCCTAGTGAGGTTGCACATTACATGCTACTGCCACTGGAACTGTCCATTAAGGCATCATGATACATTTGGGAATCAAATACAAAGGCTGCTCCTGAAACTATGCATCTAGTTGAACAAGGAGAGAAAGAGGCCAAGCTGCCACATATATCAGCTTAATAGCTGGAGCGCTGACAGCAGAAGTGTAAAACTCAATCACAGCTCTCCTTCATCTTGAGGAGATTCCAGTTCTCACTTCCCACTTCTCTGGAACATGTAGGGTCATCAGACTAGAAACTACCCTGCTGAATCCCTGCTTGCATGAATCATAAGATCCTGGAGGACGCTTCAGAAGCGGGCTACAGGGCTTTTACTCCTGTAATGCCAGCAGTCCACTCCTGTCCATGCTCTCTCTGCCATCACTCCCCATTCCATCACATCTATGGGACTCCTGGAGAGGGAAGGCAAGATGGGAGAGTAAGACAAAATAGAGCCTACAGTGCACTCCTCATTTGAGTCTCCTTGAAAATTCATAACTTGCTCCAGCAGAAGCAAACCTCTTCTGGTTTTCTCCTCCTCCTCCTTGCTGGAAACTCTCAAGAAATGAATAATTAGTGGACAGGCAATGCTTTTTTCAGGACATGCTCACAAACACAGCCCTTCAGGGAAGCATGGGAAACCAGCCACATTTGTGCTAAGGAGCTGTACCACCACATTGTGTGTGTGTTGGTATCAGAGCTGAAGGACTATTGCAAGAACTGAAATGGCCTACCAAGCTGTCATGATTAGGTATCACCGAATGTGAAAAACATTTGCTTTAAAAAAAAAGTATAAAATTAATCCTGAAGAAGGGACTGGAATACAGCTCTTTCAATACTCTCACATAAGTGCCTGAACCAATTACTCACCCTCTTGCCTGCTCCTTTTCCTGCCCATGGCTCTTGCATTCTTCACTGCTGAATGTCCCAAGCTAAACTGGAAGGAGCAGGAAATTTCAGCTTTCCCCTCCCCAGGAATGTAATGGTTGCAGTGAAGGATGTGGCAAATATAGCTGTGACTTTTTTCTGGTGGAAAAAGCAACGGAGCATTGGTTTGCCATGTCTGAAGCAACTGTTTGGCTGTTATACATCAAGAGAGCTCCCACAGGCTATGCTTTTCAGTAAAAGTGGCTGTCACTGCTGCTGGATGCAGGACTCGGAGCTGTGCTCCAAGCACTCCAGTGAGGTCAGGTTCTACTGGGGACCCAAATGATCTCTAGAGCTTGGTGGAGTCCAGGCACAGCACGGTTCCTCACTTCGCAGACTGCAGTGCTTCCCTACAGGTATCTGAGCCTAGTTGCGGTGTGACACTTAGGCTGAACATGGAGACAACTTGGGAGCTTTACATGCTCCCAATATTAAACTGCTGTGGAAAGGAGGATTTCTGGATCATTTCCTTGCACCTAGGTGTCTTAATTTTTCCTAACTCCTATTCCAGGTGATAAGACAGATGTTCTGGATAGCTCTATGCACATTTCTGTAACTTAGCTACCCTACTTCCTAAAGCAGAACTTGCAGAAGTGTGGTGAGGACAAGCATTAAGTACAATGATGCCTAACAATAACACAGAGATCATTTAAAGATGAATCCCAGACAAATACAGAATCACATCAGTATAAAAAGAAGTTAATATTGTATTCAGATAAAAGAGTTTTAATTTAAAACCAGAAATTCATATTTCATCTTTCCCATGTGCTTTACAGACCACTTTATCCATTAAGCATGAGCACCCTTTAAAAATATTACCACCGAAGACTTCCCAGACATTGCAACAGTGCTGGGACCAAGGCAATGATCTTTTTCTGAAGTCTGTTCTAATCCGAGAGTTAGAGAGGTTGCACAGCACCAATAGCAAGATATGTGGAGGAAGCACAGTTCACGCTGGAGAATGATTCAGTGGGTTTTCATAAAGTCTTTCATATCAAAAGTCAGTTCATGATAGCCTCATCTAATACATTACCCAATAATAAGAGTACACAGCATCTTGTTATCTTTCCACATTCACCATTCACTCTCTCTGAAGATATCCAGCAGAATTTTACTTTGTGGGAGCCACAGGCTTCAAAGTTTTTTGCCCTTTTCAGTTCCGACATTTAAATTTATCCAGAACTAACAGGGGGTGGGAGGTGACAATGATATATTTCATAAAAACTTTTGAACTTTGGACCAGAAGAGAAACATATCTTCACAAAAATAGTTTCAAAACACCTATTTTCAGATCTAAGTTAGAGAAAGAGCTGCGACTGGCATGGGAGATCCGTGTGTTTAACAACTTCTAATTCAAACAAGAAATACGCATAAAATAAAAATACTCTGAATATACAAATGGATAGGAGCTTAAGCCCAGCCATCCTATATCCCAAGCCAGTGCACTATCTCCTTTATAACCTTCTGAGGAGAGATATTATTGAAACTATAGCAAAAGCTTCTTGAAAATATACATATTTTTACTTCCTGGAGAATGGTCCCACCTTGTTCCACTCGCAAGCTGTAGAACCAAGTACAAAACTGAAAGCAAGCAACAGTTACCAGTGAGGATTTTCCTGTAGTACTGAATGCTAGAAGAAAACAATCTCACAGATCGAGGCCCAGATCAGTAGCTGTCAATCCCCACATCACCCACGTTTTGCTTTTTTAAGGAGAAGATCACATAAAATGGCAGCTTTTGATGTGAACTTACCAGCTGGGGACTCAGACTGCAGAGGTCTTTGCATCTTTTGGCAATTTACATAACTGTATACAAAACATGTTACAAAACAATTTAAAGGACATTTCCCACTGCACAAAGGTGCAGCATAAACAGCTCCATTAACCAACTCAACTTAAGATTCATACAAGCCCGTAAAGACCTTGTATTGATCTCTTCAACCTGGAATGAATTTTACTGCCAATACACAGACACATGTTTTTAAGATATATACAATCGTTAATTGTCTGTATCAAGTTCAGAGGCCGGAAAAATATGAACCCAGCATTTTCACTGTTTCATGCTTGATTTCATTAGGTAGTTTAATGTATTAAAGAATCAGGTCTACAGCTTCATCTGTTAACTTCTCAACACTGAACATGACACTTAGCAAATCTACTAGCATGCACATCTAGATACTGTAGCCTGAACTGCTCAGCTAGAAGAGAAACATTCAGGAAACCCATCAGAACGTAATCAAATGAATTATGAGTGACAGAACAAAGCAAAAAATACAACACACACATATGAAATGGGAAATCACTCTTGACCAAGGCAGTTGGTATCAAGAGAATATTCAGAACGTGCCTTACCTGTGTAGTGCACCACACACGTCTGACCCTTCTTTGGAAATGTCCGTCCTGTTAAAATGATAAAAGGTAATTCTTTTCTTTTCTCTGATTGAATTCTGTGGCTAGGCGGGTTTATCTTTTAAGAGGAAAATGCCAGACTGAGATTTGTATTGACTATGTGTTATCAAACCACT